AGGGCGGAGGGGCCTCCAGTCAGAATCCAGAGAGAGTGGCCAGTACCTAGAGTCTGGAGGGCAGGGCCATTGTCTAAATGGTTTCAGAGAACAGAGGATTATTTTCAAGCCTTGAGGGCTAATGTAATGTGTTCTGCTGACTTGCTTGGTGCCTGCTATCCCTTCTTTCTCTCCAATTTCTCCCATTTGTAATAGAAATATCTAGCTTGTGCCTGTTCCACCATTGTACTTTGGAAGCAGGTAACTTGTATTCTAGATTTCACAGATGAAGAAAAATTTTTGGATTTTGGACATGGAGTTGAATTAAGACTTTTGCAATGATATGATGGGGCGAGTATGTTTTACATGTGGCAAGGACAAGAATTTTTGGGAGCCAAAGGGTGGAATGTCATTGATTGAATTGTGTCCCCCCAAAATACGTGTCAACTTGGCTAGGACATGATTCCCAGAATTGTGTGATTGTCCACCATTTTGTCATCTGATGTGATTTTCCTATGTGTTGTAAATTCTACCTCTATGATGTTAGGGAGGCAGACTTAGAAGTAGTTATGTTAATGAGGTAGGACTCAATCTACAAGATTAGGTCATGTATTTTGAGATATAAAAGAATCAAGCAGAGAGACAAGGGGACCTCATACTACCAAGAAAGCAGCGCCAGGAGCAAAGCATGTCCTTTGGACCTGGGGTCCCTGTACTTGAGAAGCTCCTAGACCAGGGGAAGATTGATGACAAGGACCTTCTCCCAGAGGCAACAGAGAGAAAAGCCTTCCACTGGAGCTGGTGCCCTTCTAGCCTACTAGACTGTGAGAAGATACGTTTCTCTTTGTTAAAGCCATCCACTTGTGGTATTTCTGCTATAGCAGCACTAGATGACTAAGACAGGTGGGGACGGTGAAACTTGCTTGGTTATGAAGATGACTAACTAACTAAACTAACCTGCTGCTGTCGAGTTGATTCTGACTCATGGCCACTCCATGTGTTACAGAGTAGAACGACTCTATAGGGTTTTCTTGGCTGTAATCTTTATGGAAGCTGATTGCCAGTCCCTTCTTCTGCAGCACCACTGAGTGGGTTTAAACTACCAACCTTTAGGTTAGTAGCTGAGCACAAACCATTTGTGCCACCTAGGCACCTTTAGATACTGTCAGGAGTCCTTGGGTGGTACAAGTGGTTAACATGCTTGGCTGCTAGCTGCAAGGCTGGAGGTTCGAGTCCACCCAGAGGCACCTCAGAAGAAAGGCCTGGCGATCTATTTCTGAAAAATCAGCCATTGAAAACGCTATGGAGCACAGTTCTACTTTGAAACATGTGGGGTTGCTATGAGTCAGAATCAACTCAATGTAATGTCAGGAACCCGCACTTCAAGCATATGGTAGATGCTCAGCAAAACAGAGGAAAGTTTTTTTTTTTAAATCTATTTATTATCACCTCTCTCTAAATTACAATCTAATTGAGGATAGGTTACTGTGACTCCATTAACTGAGCAGCTACTAAATGCTAGTCTCTGGGCTAAGCACTTTATGTGAGCTGTCACACTGAATCCTCATACCAACTCCATGAAGTAGGTACAATTATTATTATACCTATATTACGAATGAAGAAAACAGGGCTCCAAGGGGTGAAGTGACTTGCCCAAGGTCACACAGCCAGGAAGTGGCAGAGCTGTGCCTAAAATCCAGGTAGACCCAACTGCAGCTGCTGGGCCATTAAACAGTATACAATCCTGCCTCTCAGAACTAATGGACCAGTGGATATGGCTGGGCTTTCTGGTCTCCAGGAGGAAGAGCTGGAATAAGGGGGGAGTGATAGGGCCAAAGTGGGTCGTGGTGGGAAGCAGAGACCCAGCCTTGGTTCAGAGGTAAGAGAGGAAGCCTGGGGTGGGGTCGGGGGAGTCATGCTGCAGTTTGGGGGGCTGTGGCTTCTGTGCCTCTGACTCATTTGGACGGAGCAGCTCGATTCCCAGCTGCAGGAGATGCTATTTATAACCTGCAGGTTCCAGCAGCCTCCTGAGCACAGAGCCTGCAGCTACCTGGGCCCTTCTCCTTGGGCTTCAGGGTGAGGAGGGGAAGGCAGCAGGACAGGGGACGCCACGGCTGGGCCTCCTTTCTCCTTGCCTCCTCTCCCTGCTCTGGAATCTCCAACCAGCAGAAAACACACTCAAGTGCCCACCCTGGGGGTGTCCAGCATGCCTTTAGTACAATGCCTGGCACCTAAGAGTCCTGAATGAATGAATGGTAATAATGCCAAGCCTTTTTATTTGGTCAGATCATGTACTTTCTCTGCCTAAAATTCTCCAATGGTTCCCCCGTCTCATTTGGAGTAAAAGCCAAAGTCCTTAGAATGGCCTACAAGACCCACATGATACTACCCTCCCCCTGGCTCACCTGACTTCAGGGGCCCCCCTGCTGTTCCTGGGAACACACTAGGTACGTTCCTGCCTCACAGCCTTTGCTCTATTCCTTGCTCCTGGAACACTGTTCCTCCAGATACTGGCATGTCTCTCTGCCTCGCCTCTTTTGGATTTTTACTCGAATGTCACCTTCTCGGTCCTTCCCTGACCATTCTACTTAAAACTGCACCCACACAATGTACTCCCTATCCCCTTTCTCTCCTTAATTTTTCTCCACAGCAGTATCGGCTGCTAACGCAAAGGCTGACCGTTCAAATCCACCCAGGGGCTCCACAGAAGCTACCCATTAAACCATTGCTGTCGAGTCGATTCTGACTTATAGGGTTTCCAAGGAGTGGCTGGTGGATTCAAACTGCTGACCTTTTGGTTAGCAGCCAAACACTTCACCACTGTGCCACAAAGCTCCCCACAGAAGATAGGCCTGGTGAACTACTTCCATAATGATTACAGCCAGGAAAACCCTATGGAGTGCTGTTCTAGTCTGTAACAAATGGAATCGCCATGAGTTGGGGTCCAGCTTGACAGCAGCCAACAACAACAACAACAACAGCATTAATTTATCTTTTTTATTGACTGTCTCCTTCCACTAGAATGTCAGCTCCATGAGGACAGGGATTTTTGTTTTGTTCACTGCTGTATCTGCAGTGCCTACAAAGTGTCTGGCATATAGCTGGTGCTCAATGAGTATTTGCTGATTGCAAGAATTCACTGGGATTTTCACACACTTGCTATGTGATCTTGAGCAGCTCACCTCACCACTCCGGGCCTCAGTCTCCCCAGCTGTTGGCCTCACAGCCTAGGGTTCTCCCCTGGCTCCCAAGACCTTTTCAGAACATCTGCCAAAAGGACAACTGGCCGAGGCCCGGCTTGATATTCTTCTCCCAGACTAGACCTCTCCATGCAGATTGTTCAAACCTGGGGACAGGTATGTGCCAGCTCTCTTGTATCTGTGTTAGGGCCTTTGAGCAGATGCATTTGTGTGAATGAGTCTCTACATGTGTTTGGAGACCTCGCTGAGATAAGACATACCAGCAGAAACATCAGAAAAGGTCCTAATTCTGTCTTCCTGCTTCTTTTTGTTTTCAACGGAGCGAAAAACAGGAATTTCTAAAAGCATGGCAGACCCTTCTCTTATTGAGTGACGGAAACACTCTCTTCTCTGGAGATTCAGGGGAAGAGCCTGTTGGCTGTGAATCCCCATACCTCTAACAGGCTGTTCCCACTTCCTCAGGTGCCAGCTGTGAGAAACTCATGGCAGAGCTGCCCACCTTCCATGAGGGAAGCCCGAAAGAGAACTGCAGGCTCTACTGGGGATGCCAGGTCCATTTTTAGATCTCATCTGTTCTTAATAGGAAATGGGCCCTACTTCACCCAGGTTTCTAGAGCAATCCCTGATAGGGTTTTGGAGTTTATTAGAATGTTCAGACACTATCTCATTTACTTACATGATCCATATCTCTTCTATATATACACCTCGAGTACATATCTGATGGAAGAGTTCATTTTCATAAGTAATGGAAGGCAGGCAACATTGTCTTCATTTGATAGATGCTGAAACTGAGGCTCAGCAGTGACGTGACTTACCCAAGGTCATAAAACTAGGACATGAACCCGAGCGGCATCTGGTTTGGGGTTACTAGGGTAGGAGAAGTGAGGGAACTCCCTCCCAGTGGGGACCACACTTTAGAAAAAACATGCTTTACTTTATTATTATTATTGGGGTGAAAATATACATAGCAAAACATATGCCAGCTCAACAATTTCTACATGTGCAATTTAGGGACATTGATTATATTCTTCAAGTTCTGCACTCATTCTCCTTTTTCCAAATGATTCCACCACCAGTTAACATACACATAATACCCTCTAAGCATAAATTCTCCCTTTCCCCCTCCCTCCCGCCCCTCGTAACCACTAATAATCTTTGGTTTCTATATATTTGCTTATTTCATGTAAGTGAGAACATACAGTATTTCTCCTCTTGCGACTGACTTCGCTCAGCATGATGTTTTCCAGTTCACCCGTGTTGCGGCATCCATCAGGACTTCATTTCTCCTTACGGCTGAGTACTATTCCAGCGTGTGTACACCACGTTTTGTTTATCCATTCATTTGTTGATGGACACGTTGTTTCCACGTTCGGGCTCCTGTGAAAAGTGCTGCATTGAACACTGGTGGGCAGGTTTCTGTTTGCATTCCTTCCTCCACTTCTTCTGGGCATCTACCGGAGATTGGGATTGCTAGGTCATACGGTAGGTCTATGTTCCATTTTTTGAGGAACCACCAAACTGTTTTCCACAGTGGTTGTACCATTTAAAATGCTTTCCTTCTGAAGAATGAGCTCAGGCCTAAGGGAACTTTGGTATCTGGGAGCCAGAGAAACGTGTTCAAATCCCAGCACTGCCATTACTTGTGCCCTCAGACAAGTTCCAAAAACCACAGGTGGCCCGCTTCGTCATTTGTAAAATGGAGATACTAATCCCTGCCACACAAAGCCCTGGGGAGTTTTTGGTCAGATAATGCGTTTCAGTGCCTGCCACTGGGCAGTGCTCAAAGCGTGTCTCCGAAACCCATCTGGACACACTTCTCACCTTCAAGTCGGGCCAGCTTGAAATGCGCAGGCGCAACATCCGGGAGCGATCGGAGACACCACGGTGACTAATCATCCCGCGCAAGCGCAAACTATGCAAGCCACGTTGCCTGGCGCCACCACGTGAGACCAAAAGCACGAGGCTCGAGGAACGTTCTAGCAATGGGATCGTTAGGACTGTTATGTTCTCACTTGGCTGGAACCTTAGGCCCTGGACCGCATGTGAATGCGCTTGAGAGGAAGAGTGAAGGAGAAGACGTTCTAGAACTTCACAAGGTTCTTTTGACTTGGAGCTCTGGGTCCCAGGCCACCTGGGCATATGTTTCAGGGGGAGAGAGAAGGGGAAGACTTTCTAGAACTTAAAACGTGGTTCTTTTGACCTTTCCATTAAAAAAAAAAATTGTAAAATGTGTATAACAAAATTTTACAATTCAGTGGCTTGACCTTTCCATTTTTCAGGGAGGTTTTGCGTGGCCGCTGAGATCAAAGGGAACCCGACCAGGCTGGGTTCCCGTGGGCAACCTTTAGTCATTTGTTCAGACAGCCTGGCCTCTCTAGTATTGGGCAATAAGGATGCGGTGACACGGACCCAGCTGGGGAGACAGACATTCCCCGGGAAATGACTTATCCGAACGGAAACCTGAGGTCAAGTGTGAGTCTGGAGAGGAAGAGGTTGCAGACAGACCAAGGAACAGCAAGCACAAAGACTTCAAGTGCGAAGCAGCCTGGATGATCGAGAGAACTGAGCTGGTGAGCCGGGAATGTTGGCCGTGTAGAGAGTTTTGGACTTGATCCTAAGAGCAGTGGGAAGCCATTGAAGCCGGGCGTAAATGGTCTTTATAGTTCCGCACTGAATAATATTTTTGCCTGGCTTTTTCATTCAGAAAAAAAAAAAGGATTTTGAGTTCCACACCTGCCCTACCAATTTTTGTTGTTTGTTTTTTAATTTTCAGAAGTAGAAAATAAGGGCATGATGGAATATGTGTTTATTTCCAGGATTAAATGTGCTAACAGATGCAAATTGCCAAGTATTCTGTATGTGCTCTATAAATGGTAGTTTCCTTATCTCTCCTCGAGTTTCATTCCACAATTTCTGCTATTCCAGGAACACCAAAGGAGACCAATTCTCACTACAAACTAAAGATAAATTGCACTGGAAGCTGGTCGGGTGGATAAAAGTCTGGATTGTTTCCAAAGATCAAAAGGTGATTATTTCACAAAATTATGATTCAGACAGTAGTAACCTTCCCATGATCACTCAGTGTCTTATTTGATTTATAAAAATATAATTGGCATTCGAGTTTTTAGGGGCACATTTATCGCATGGGGCCCTGGTGGCACAGTGGTTAAGAGCTTGGCTGCTAACCAAAAGGTCAGCAGTTCAAATGCACCAGCCGCTCCTTGGAAACCCTATGGGGCAGTTCTACTCTGTCCTGTAGGGTCACGATGAGTCGGAATCAACTCAACAGCAGTGGGTTTTGGTTTTATTGCATAATATAAAACCAAGTTTCACAAAGTCAGCGGCTGTGTCTATGTTGTTCCTCACTGAGAGGTTCCCACCTTGTTGGCCACCTACCTAGTAGGCTTTGAAATGTTTGTTGAATTGGTTTAAAATAATGGTATATATATTTTTTCAATCTCAAGTCGGGGCATCAGTTCTGTAGTTCTCTTTATAGTTGCTAACGAATTTTGATGGCATGAAAAAGCTTGTGCTCCGAATTATGTTTAGCTCTTACAAATGCTACCGCACAATTATGTTGTAAAGCGGAATTCGATTTTATCTTTAAGTTGGTATTATAGCCTTGGGAAAAGGTGAACTTTGAGAATAACTACATAAAGTAGTAGCATATCATATTATTGACTTTGCTACTTTTTTTTTTTCTTTTAATGTGGTACAGGGCTTAGAACAGACTGCTACATATGGTAGGTGTATCACTCAGGGTCCCAGTAAGAAACAGATGGTACTCATGGTAATTAGGGGAGGGCATAATAAAGGGACTGTTTACAAAGGTTTGGGCAGAGAGTAGAGAAATCACGAGGGATAGTGAAGTACCCAAACCAAACTAAACCCATTGCCATCAAGTCGATTCCAACTAGTAGCGACCCTATAGGACAGAGTAGAACTGCCCCTATAGAGTTTCCAAGGAGAGCCTGGTGGATTTGCTAGTAATAGCTAGGGCTTTTACCACCCATAGCTCTGAAGGTTGAAGGGAGGGAGAAATTACAGAAACTCTCTCAAGAAAGAAAGAACTGTGTGGAGAGGGCTGCCTTGAGAAGAGTGGTGGGCTTTTTCTCAAAAGACACAACCTACCTGAGGTGGGCCGGCAGGGATGGAACTGCTGGAATAAATCCTTCACCCTCACTCTTCTCCTGCCCTCCAATCTCCTGCTGCTGCCGCCTCTCATTTGTGAAACCCAACTAGAAGATAGAGGGCAAAAGAGTTGATGTAGCCCATGTAGGTCAGCACCCCAGGGCAGAGAGCAGGATGGAGAAGGGTGGAAAACTGGGTCTGGAGAGACAAATGGAAAATATCTGGTACAGTAGGCTTCACTGAATACTTGTTAAAGACTTAATATTTAAATCTTGGTATCCTGTGCAGACACTGGAACCTGTACGAATGGAACCATGGCAGTAGGTCCTGGGTTATTATAACCAGCTTATTATAAAAAGTACTGTGCTGGGCATTCTGAGAAAAGCCTAGCAATGGCAAAGGAATACCAGAAAGGCAATGATTTCTCCTTCTGATGCATGTATTTTAAAGAACACATCCCTGACCCTTGAAAGCACTTGTTTAGAGCTCCGAATAGTAAATATGACCCTACTGGTCTCACAATTAGACGCCGCTTCCCTAGAAGCAAGAGAGTTCAGGCAAAGCACACAGGTTCTGAATTTTGTGCCTGTCAACTGGCAATTCTGTTCCTTGCCGTGTTGGTGCCTTTTAGGTGGCGGCTGAATGAATAGTCCTTTTTCAGGCAGGGGAATAAGAATAGGATTTGTCAGTGCATCTTCGGAAACTGGACTTGCTCTTATGAATGGAGTGGATTGTGGTCTCACATTTTCTGAATCTGTGAAATCATGTGCCTCTTTAATGAAGTCCTCTTGGAAGAGGAAGGAATGGGCCTCTGTTAGTGACATGTCTCTGACAAGCAAATCAATTCGTTCCATTTGTTTCGTCTTGAAAAACAGCAATCCTCGAGCGTTACATAATCTAATCTTCATGCCTCACTGGTTTGTTCTGTCCTCCTGAGGAACTGGCAGATGGTGCCAATGCAGAGACCCGCACACACGCCTTGCAAGCCTCCCGGTAACAGGAGAGTTGCTCGCAGTGTCTGTCTCTTTGTTATGGGGTCCCTTGCTGGCATTTGTTTCCCTGGATCAGTTTGCTCTTTAGCATTCCTCAGGCACTACTGGCTTCTTGCCTTCAGCTCTCATTCCAAGATTAATTGGAAATGCTGAAGGCAGATAAAAAGAGAACAGAAAGTGAAGTTGAAAGGGCAGTGAATTTGCCAGATCTTTTCTAAAAGCCCTTTCCCATTAAAGACGGAGTGTCTTTGGATAGTGTAGATCCCGAGCTTCAACTTCCTCACTCAGCCTGGTCCCCGTGCACGTCCTTGTTGCTGGGTTACACACAGCACAGGGACAGGGCTGGCTGTGTCAGAGCTATAACAGTAGAGATTTGCCTGATAAGGTCTCTGGATTTCTCTCTGTAAAAGTAAGTCACATGCCTGCAGAAATGATTGTTCCTCAGATAAGGCAGTTAGTTACCCGGAATCCACCTTGAGGTCAGTGATGTCATTCTTGTTAAAGGAAAATTATCTCAGAACTCTGTAAGATGAGCAGGGCCCCTTTAGAACCACATTTAGATGCCCTTGCAAAGGCATTGCTTGCATATCCCAGCTAAAATCCTGGGAATGGCAGCTGCCCAGAAGCCAAGGTGTCTCAGACATCCTGTGATGGGGACAGCTCGACTAATACTTAGGACTGGGAATAAGCTGACATGTTCTGGTATTGCCTTTCAGTTGTTAAAATATTGAAATACTCTCACACTGGTTGGTAAATATATCTCTGAGCTCCCAAGTGCCTCCCGTTCCTCGGCTAATACTTACGTCTGTTGAGAGGATCTTATTTTAGATTATTTCCTGAGTAGCTCTGTATTTCCATGCAGCAACACGAGCTTCCTTTGCCAAACCCACTCTGTTTCCAACCGTGCAGTTCCAGGAGGTCTGCTTGGTGGAGGGCCAGGCACCACTCCAAGTGCCACCACAGACGTAACTGCCCTGCACACAGACTGCAGTGTTGGTTGACTCTGATTTTGGATGGAACCTCCAGGCAATTAAAACATAGAACCCTCCTACCTGTGGCAAAAACATGCCTTGTCTTTAAAGGTCACATGCACCTTTACGCTTGCTCGTCACTCAGGATCTGGGTTGTGTATGTATAGACAACAGAAATGATCTGTCCAAAGGAGAAAAGGAGAAAAGCAAAACAAACCATGTAGAGTCTTCTGTTAATGCCACTTCCTCCCGCTAAGTCCAAACACAGGGAACTAATTTTTACAAAAACAGGAACTTTTTTGCTTCTCTGAATTTGTGATTCATTCACGAAAGATTAGTTGAGCACCTATTATGAGCATGCTGTCATATGTCAGCCACTGTGTAGGTGCTGGATATCCAGTAGTGAATAAAACAGACCCTGTCTCTGCTTTCACGGAACGCAGTCTAGTTGGGGAGACAGACAATAAAGGAGGCCACCGTGGCTAGAGTGTCATTAGGTCATCTGAACGTGGGTTGCATTTCAGCTAATGGAGACTGCGTGGATGTAACGAGTGACTTCTGGTGTGCTGTCTACTTGTCGTATGTATCTACACTGCTACGGTAAAGGATGTGTGGCCTCAGTATTAAAAGAGTAAGGCACAGGGGTGATCACTTCCTGCATTCAGTCAAGATCTCAAAGAGGCTGAGAACTGCTCTGGATTAGGGAAAGAAAGGGAGGAATATTCGGAATGAGAATGATGGCGAAGCAAATATGTTCTCATACTTGGAGATCAGATGTGCTGTTCTTAAAAGAAGACGGTAA